AAGATAATAAAATTTGTAAAATAAAACCATAGATTTAACATATGGTCCTTCTTGAAGTGAGAAAACCTTAAATCATAGGAATTAGACCTAAAAGCAGCAAGAAGAAACACTGCTGGGCACAGTGGTCACATCTGTAGTCCAGCACTTTGGAGGCCAAGGTGGGTGGATTGCTTGAGCTCAGGGAGTTCGAGACAAGCCTGGGCAAGAATGGTGTGAACCACTTCTCTACCAAAATTAGCCCTGTGGATGGCCGCATGCCCTCCTCAGCTACTCGGGAGGCTGAGGTGGGAGGATCACTCAAGCTTGGGAAGCGGAGGTTGCAATGAACTGAGATTGAGCCATTGGACTCCAGCCTGGGCGACAGAGCAAGACTCTGTCAAAAAAAAAACAAAAAACAAAAAAAACTGCAAATTCCATGTTTAACAAAATTAAGAGATACTTCATATCACCAAATAGGAAGAAAAGTAGGCATATAAGCAGTAAAGATCAGAGAGAGGTTTGGTATAAACAGAAGAGAGGATGTTTGGGGCTGCAGACTACAAAATACAAAACCAGTAGAGCCCAATTCTCTGAATTAGGTGGTGTAACTTGACATACAGAACTCAAATTCTTATGAGCAGCAATGAGAACAGGATCACAGTCTGATGGGGTGTACTTCTTTGGACCTTACTAAACATAATGTGTTGAGAAGCTGGAAAAACAGAAGTCAGTAAGGATTCTCACAGATAAGCTGTTTGCGCCTGCGGACTTTGGTGAGAGAAGGGAATGAATGACAGATTCACTATTGTGAGCAGTGCTGCATTTCCAATCTCAAGTGGCTGGGGAGAAGCAAAGTCTAAAAAAACGTATTTATATCTGGACTCTTACCTGGTGTTTTATGTCAAAACTTTCAGGAAAATAGTAATGAGTAATTTGTTAAAAAAGAACAGGTACAGAATTTATACAAAGATATTACCAGAAAAAAGGAAGGAAAATGGTGGCCACAAAATATGTAAAAAGAGCAACTGAAAATTCCGACCAAATATCACCATGAGAGAAAACATAATAAAGATTTCATCTCTATAGAACAAGTATATAAACAGAGATACAATTGCTCAGAGACAATAAGATCTCATGTCAGTAACAAAATATAAGAAAAAATAGTTATCAACAAAATGAAGGCCAAAATGGAAGCAATACAAAGAAAGACAGTGTTCAAAATATAAGGCGCTTAGATGACAAAATTGGGAAAAACTAGTAAATGTGTGGAAATAAAAAGAGACAAGAGTTAGAAAGACAATGACAGATAAGGAAGAAAGGCGGAAAGAATTGAATAGTATACAGTTTTTGGATGACAGAAGAGTTAATTTTCTCCCCTTTTATAACATCATTCGGAACTATCTAAAAAGTAGTCTGTGGAATTTTTCAGATTGAGATTGTTATACACAGTGTTGGTCTCAAACGTGAAAGAACACAGGGAATACAGACAGCATCCTTGAGTCCATTCCTAAAACTACTTAAAGACAAAATCCAGCCAAATGAATGACAATGGGAAACCTTGTGGCAGAAGAATTAATATTGTACTCAAGTCCAGAAAAGTGAAGTATATATCAGGTCCTCTGAAAAAGAAGGGTTTTCCCAAGTCATTTATACCAGCCAGGTTATTCATCAAATGTAATGACAATATTCTCAAACAAAGAAGAATACAAGGAACATAACACCTCCTCCCACCCCCAGAGGCTCCCTTAAAAGCACTTACAAAGTTCACCCAATCTAGAGTTGAATCAAAATAAATCCCTAGGAAAGTCTCCAGCTTCTTAATATATTTCACGATTTTTCTTTCCCCATTACCCTCAGGAAGATATTTTAAAATTTGGAATTTCAGGAACTTAAAGATATCTATTGTGGGAATAATTTTTAAAGTTCAACAGTTTGTTTTACTTCGTTTACTTTTTGATCTGTTCAATTCAAATTAATACTTTTCAAAATACAATGGCATTTTATGATTCAATTCCCGTGAAGTTATTTCTGTTCTTATATTTGAATATATACATGTTGACTGTGTCTGGAATGATGTTTATAACTGATATTTCAGATGATATTTCTAGGCAGTAGCATGTTGAGATTTAAAATAGTTTCTATCTGTGTTATTTCCTCTGTATTATTTTTATTGCTTGATTTTAAAATAACACATATCTTATAAAAATGACTCATTTAAGAAATAGAAGGCTTTGTTGACTCCCCCCTGCCCCTCCAGCACACACACAAAGGCAGGGAATAGGTATAGATTCTGAGTAAGGAAAAACACAAAGCCTACATTAACACCAAGCCTTGATGACACTTCTTTTATTAATTGCATTCTTAATTTTATTTTACTTAGGTTATGCACATTCGGAAACTACTTCAGAAAATGGATCGTCCAAATGGTCTTTATCCAAATTATTTGAACCCCAGGACAGGGCGCTGGGGTCAGTGTAAGTATTCTAGTATACCTGAGGCTTTCTTAAAGAATTATTTGTCTGAAAACTCTTTGCTTGATGTAGTACAAAGTACACTACGTGGAGTTAGAAACCCTCAGTGTCTAGCCTTGTGGTCTACTGGTGCTGTTCTTAGCCATATTTCTTATCTCTCTTAGCTTCAGTTTTCCCACTTGTGAAATGGAAATGTTAATAACATGTCTCCTAAGAGTATTTTATTTCCTGTATTGCTAAAATATAGTGTGGCAGTTTGAAGGTTGTGCTTAAAAACTCTTATTAATAAATTACCTCTTCATGTAAATAAAAGCATCGCTTAGGAGAGGGAGGTAGAGGAGGAGTATGAAAAGCAAACGAATATAGTAGATTACTAGAAGCGGGGCAGTTGTTCTTGGATGAGCCATGTCTATTCATTCATTTTAGAAGAAGGCATCCTGGCCTTCATTATTTACCAGTCTCTGTGCTAAGTTCTTAGAAGAGATTGAGATGGAGAAAGAACATAGGGTTTGGCCTGAATTCACAGGCTGGCAGGATAGGCCGACACATAAATGTTATTGTATAGGAAGGTACCAATTGTTACATGAAACTGTGGGAAAAATGATTCCCTCTGCCTGAGGGGAAAGTATTTTGTTTAGGGAGAGGGTAAGTTTTCTTATTAGAGCTCATTTATTTTTGAAGAAATTGATTTTTAAAAGTAACAACTAATAAATATTTATGTGGAAATGTGGAACTTACAGAATTTTAGTAATTGTAGGTTTATCAATGCTATTCTTTTTTAAAGGTTAGGAAAACAAGAACAAATAATAGAGACTGCAACTTTGCCACTAACAAAACACGATTCAGTTATTTTTGAGACTAATAAAATCCTAAGTAGTAAATAAGAGACAAAAGTAACGATCATTTAATTTTAGTATTGAAAGCACTGCTGATTCTGCCAGTAAGAAAATATGCTGGTGTGAGTACCCAGAATAGGAAAACATTTGCCCTGGAATTGTCTTCTCGTTCCTTTCCAGGAAATTGTCTTTTATTTTATGAAAGGAAAGCAGATAGGTCAATATAATTATGTCTTTCATGAATCTGGAAATAGATCTCAATCTTTTTTGACTATTTTTATACTTACTTTTCCTGTTTCCTGAAATTATTTACATATGATTCATTTTTCTCTTTATTTTGAAGAAGATAAAAGCTCTACTGCCTAGAATGAGTGGGAATGATATTTTTTGGAAAAACAAAACCCTGAGAGCTGCATTTCTAAAATGTAAAACCATAGTTTTCTTATTTCAGATAAGAGTGACTGAATTGGATGTCTACTTAGTAATTTCGATGAATTCTATTATCAATCTTTACCCTTGTGAGTTGTATTGAGATTTGAGAATATTATGATAATATGATGATATAATATATATGAAAAATTATGTTCAGTTCCTGTCTTAGACTATATGCCAGTGTATATTCTATATGGTTTTACTATTTAAATGTAAAAGATGAAATCATAAAAGTACTAAAAACAGGGTTGAATATATAATCAGGAAAGCCTTTTCTAAGCATGTCACATAAAACAGAAACTACAAAAAAAGGTGTCAGTTTTTCCTGTATATTATTGTTAACCTCTGTATTAGTCTGTTCTCATGCTGCTGTAAAGTACTGCCTGAGACTGGGTAATTTATAAAAGATAGAGGTTTAATTGACTCACAGTTCCACAGGGCTGGGGAAGCCTCAGGAAACTTACAATTATGGCAGAAGGGGAAGCAAACACATCCCTCTTCACATGGTGGCAGGAAGGAGAAGTGCCAAGCAAAGTGGGGAAAAGCCCCTTATCAAACCGTCAGATCTTGGGATAACTCACTCACTGTCAAGAGAACAGCATGGGGGTAAAACATCTTCCTGTACCCAGTCTCCAGAGTGTGTACATTTGTATGCTTTTTGAACCACCAACTCATTTCCAGCAGTTTATTCCAAATAAATTTTCAGAGCTGTATATTAAAGTTTATTTACAACAGTCTTGGGGTTGTTTATAATAGGGATAATTTGGAAACAATCTGAAGCAGTCCTAACAGAACTTTCTGTAATGAGGAAAAGATTCTATTATCTGTGTTATCCAATACAGTAGTCACTAGCCACATGTGACTGTTGAGCACTTGAAATGTTGCTAGTATGGTTGTGGAATTACATATTAAATTTTACTTTAATTAACTTACATTTAATTAGCTACTTGTAGCTTGTGCTTCTACATTGGACAGGGCAGTTTTTAAATGTCTTACATAGGGATTTGGTTAAATACATTTTGGCCTGTCCAGATACAGTATACTATTCAGCCATTAAAAGTTATATTTTAGAATACCTGACATAGATAAATATGACATATCTAGAAAGATATTTAGAAAAGGAGAGGAAACACTATAACAATAGAAACCAAAGTGTTATGTGTGATTTTCTCTGAATTATTGTTTTTATTTTCTCCTTTTCATTTACTGTTACTATCCAAATTTGATTATGAACATCTCTTACTTTTGATGTTAGCTTAAAAACATTTTTAAATAAAAAGAGAATCCCATTTTCCATGCCAGCATAAGGATACTTAAAAAAGTAAATCACAGTTTGGGAATTGCCAGCCTTGAAATGATCAAAAGTAGAGCATTGATGACATGGAGGCAGGAGAACTGCTTGAACCTGGGAGGCGGAGGTTGCAGTGAGCTGAGATTGTGCCACTGCACTCCAGCCTGGGTGACAGAGCGAGACCCTCTCTCAAAAAACAAAACCAAAACCAAAAAACAGAACTCTTTCTCTTCAGCATTGTGTTGAGAAAACTGGATAGCCCCGTGAAAAATAATGAAGTTGAACCCTTAGTGTATATTATCTACAAAAAAATTAACTCAAAACAGATCAAAGACTCTAAATTTGAGAACCAAAACTATAAAACTCTTAGAAGAAAACATAGGGGCAAATCTTCATGACCTTTGATTTGACACTGGATTCTTCAGTATGACACCAAAGGCAGAGGTAACAAGACAAAAATAAAAGATAAATTGGATTTGATTAAAATTGAAAATTTTTTGTGCATCAAAGGATACTATCTGTGAGAAAGAAAGACAACCCACAGAATGAGAGAAAATATTTGCAAATCACATGTCTTACAAGGGTATATACACAGAATATGTAAAGAACTCCTACAACTCAGCAACAGAAGGCAAACTACCTACAACTCAACAACAGAAGGCGAACTACCAAATTAAATAATGGGTGAGGACTTGAATAGTCATTTCTGCAAAGAAGTTAAGCAAATGGAAAATAAGTACACGAAAAAGATGATTAACATTAAAATGCAAATCAAAACTCAATGAGATACCACTTCACAGCTACTAGGAAGACTCTAATCAAAAGGATGAAAAATAAGCATTGGCAAGGATGTGGAGAAATTGGAACCCTTGTACACTGCTAGTAGGAATGTAAAATGGTGTAGCTGCTGTAAAAACCTAGCAGTTTCTTAAAAAGTTAAACATGTAATTACCATATGACCCAGCACTTCATCTCCTCTGTATATACCCAGAAGATTCGAAAACAGAGACTGAAACAGATACTTGTATCCTAGAGTTCATTACAACATTATTTATGATATGCAAAAGGAGGAAGTAACTCAAATGTCCAACAGACGAATGGGTAAACAATATGTAAGTATAAACATACCATGAACTATCCATAAAAAGGAATGAAGTTCTGATACATGCTATAATATAAACGAACCTTGAAAACATTATGCTAATCAAAAAAAGTCACAAAAGGACAAATATTGTATGATTTCACTTACATCAAATATCTAGAGTTCTCAAATTCATAGAGACATAAAGTAGATTAGAGTTGACTGGAAGCTTTGGATGAGAAGAAAGTGGAGAGGAGAATGGAGAGTTATTGCTAGAGTTTCTCTTTGCAGTGATGAAAAGTTTTGGAAATAGGTGGTGGTGATGGTTTTACAGCACTGTGAATATAATTAATGCTACTGAATGGTACACTTTCAAAATAGTTAAAATGGCAACTTTTGTGTTATATACATTTCATTACGATAAAATTTACAACAAAAAAGATAACTTTTATTCCTCTGTTTTTTCCTCACAGAATAAATTCAAATTACTTTATAATATATTCACTCTCAGCAGTTTTTAATTTCGATGTTATAGAAAGAGCCATTCACTGGTTATTTTGGCAGAAGATCTTTAAAATCCTAGTGAGCTGCCCTGATATCCTTTTAACAGCTGTAGTCCTTACAAAATTGCCCAATTTGTTCCTTTTAATGTTTTTGTATATTTTATATCAGCTTCTGAAAAGTATATCAAATTTTATTATCTTTGAGCAGTATACATCTGTCATATTTATAAATAGTCTGCAAAACAAACATTTAATTGAACTGAAATTTAACAATTCAGCTTTGGCTAACTGTATTATAATTAGAGTAATGATAATGTCTGTGACTTGCACATAGCAATCACAGAGAATAATTACTGGTAATTATGTTCAGGAAAAGTACTTGGCAACAGATATAAAAGAATATAGTAAGAAACCTAGATTTAAAGGCAAATTACTAGTTTTTTTTTCTTTTCTTAAACTTTATATTTTTACTATTCTAAGCACAATACTTAACCTATGTCATTTAATGATTAAAGTGAAGAAAATATAGGAAATCAGTCATTACTGATTCATTGTGTTATATTACTAAATTTATAATTGTGGAAAAAACAAGAATGAACATGTTATTTTGAGTTAGAAAATGAATTCTGATTGTCTTGCTTAATAATTTAGATAATTTATTTAGCTTCTCTATGCATCTTTATCTGTTCTAATTGTACTTATTTAATAGAAAATTCATATGGGTCATATTTATGAGAAAATATATTTGAAAATGCTTCAAATTAGTTTTTACTCTAGAATTTCCCATAAGAAGACTTCAAGAAATAGCTTCTGTTAGAAACCTGCCATTAACTGTATAACATGTTGAAATAAATCATGTG